AGAAAGGAGGACTTGCGGAGATGTCATATGGTTCAGATGAAAACCAAATAGAACTTTTTTTGGTCAAAACTCAACTAGACGTGGCTTTGGGAGGAGAAAGGAATGCTGGAGTTTGCCATCCAAGAACCACCATACCTTACTTGCTTGCAAACATGGCGGGGGGTGGAACATCATGCTTTTGCGGGCTTTTTTTGGCAAAGGCCGACCAGAACGACTGATCGTGTAAAGGCAAAGGGAATTGAATGGGCCATGTATCGTTGAGATTTTGAGTGACAACCTCCTATCCATCAGCAAGGGCTTGCAAGATGAAACTTTTGCCTGGGTCTTTCAGCATGACAATGATCCCAAACACACCGGCCCGGGCCAACGAAGGGGGTGGCCCCTTTCGCTAAGAAGCATTTCAAGGTCTGGGAGTGGCCTAGCCCAGTCTCCAGGATCTCAACACCATAGAAAATCTTTGGAGGGAGTTGAACAGTCCGGCTGTGCCCAGCAACAGGGGCCCCAAAACATTCACTGCTCTAGAGCGAGACTGCCCATGGAGGGAATGGGCCCAAAACATACCAGCAACAGTGTGTGAAAAACCTTTGTGAAGACTTAAGCGAAACGTTTGGACCTCTGTCATTGCCAACAAAACAAGCTAACAAAAGTATTGAGATGGAACTTTTGTAATTGAAAAAAATACTTATTTCTCCACCATCATTTTCAAATAAATTCTTTTAAAATCAGACAGATGTGATTTTCTGGATTTCATTTCTCATTTTGTCTTCTCATAGTTGATGGTATGCCGTCGGGGATGAAAATTACAGGGCCTCTCTCATCTTTTTAAGTTGGAGAACTTGCCAACAATTGGTGGCCTTGACTTAAATACTTTTTTGCCCCCCACTGTATACAGTTTGTGCCCTCATTGCATTAGGACATTTCAATTCAGCGCAGGAGAGTGATGTATGAAATACATGTTTTATCTATCGGGACCCATGACATGCAGGAATAGTGATTGACGTATACAACAAGTAACTGTACATGATGTTTTGGCGACGGGCCCGGGGGTTTGCAGGTGATCATTAAGGAGGGAAAGACCGCTACTGATGAAAAACCCCCGGGGGGTCTAGACACTGGTGGGGGTGCGGCTGATAGTAGCTTCGTCCGACCTGGAAGGGAGCAAGGTTTCAGCTTGGCCCCTGTATTAGGGAGACAGGAGGCGAAGGGGTGGAGGAGGTTTGTGCGTTGACACCTGAAATGACAACTGACGGGGAGGGGAGAGCAGATTTAAAGGGGTTAGCAGGTGCGATGATTGGCTAGCCGCGTGATGCCCCTGATCACTTATTGAGATAACGTGTGACCCGATAATGTTGTCTTCCTGATTGAACTTGCGCTGAGCTACATTAGTCTTCTTGCCCCAAAGCTGTAACTGGTATTAAGTTTGCATTGTTTCATTTAATGACATCCTGTAAGTCCAGGACCGGCATCTGTCAAGTTGTTTTGAGCCAAAACCTTACAAAAGTGCTCTGCAAAGGACACAAAACAGTTAAGGTGGCTCGACAGGAATCATGAGGAAAAAGGTGCTATCAGACTTGATACATCACACATTTAAAAAAGGTATTACTTTGAATAGTTCAGTGTACAGACTGGGATTCTACTCACTAAATGCAAAGAGAGAAAAAACCCTCTTCACCACTATTCTTTTTGCCAGGTCCGTGGTCACATTATAGAACCAGACTGATGTGAAGATTGTAATTGCTTTGCTTGTGAAATAGTTGGCTCTATTCTGAATCCTCACACTTTCCCAGGTTTTAATGAAATGCCAGCCACAGTCTTAAAACTCTCAATTATTTCCTTTCTTTAGCAAATAATCAAGGGGTGCACTGGAGGAAGGGGAAGTCTGCAGACTGCTAAGTCTAAGTCGTTAGGTGGCTTTATGACGAGGGGTCCCATTACCAGCCAAAATGGACAGATGTAGGTCTACTAAGGTCTGGGGGACACCCAGATCACCAATCCCTTTGTTATGATATCAATACGCTTGGTAACGTCCCATGAAATACAAAAATGACTTTTAAACCTTTGGAGGCATGAGGTAAATAACTAAAGTAAATAACAAAGCGTCAGGAATAGCCTCTACTCTAGACGGAGGATGAAGGACATGCCTCTGACTATGTTCCCGTACCCCATATGTCAGAGAAAAAGGCCAGGAAAATAAATTAAAAGTGAACCCACGAAGACTCTCAGTTCTTTCCCCACTGGTTTGTTGGTTTTGGTGCATTAACACATTCCTATTATTTTGCCAAATGGTAGATGAAAGCCATGCCCACGAATGAATTATATTTATGATGACTGGATTCGTCACATTTTATTCAATCACATAGATCAAATAGCATTAGGAAAATATGTGATGCCCATGAATAGCACCAACTTTTTTAAGATCAAAATAATGTGAACCAAATAAAACGTTAGACAAAAACATCACATGGATTTGTTACTAACTGCTGTGGTAACAGAGCATGCACCTGTAAGCATTACTAATGAGCGCCAATCCCCCAGAGGAAAGCAGGCTGATTGAGGAACAGGAAACAATTATAAGAGCGGCTGCCAAGGTTCTCTGTGCTCATCACGTTGCCCTGGCAACTTGGCCTTGAGATCTGAGTCTCAGGTTAATAACTACATGAACAGGAAGTGTGCTTGCAGACAGGTATGAGGTCAGTATTTCCACGCAGATTGTTGACCTCTCCGGTGAATGTTGAGAAAACAGTCTGCTGATCAAATTCAACGGACCTTGTGAATGGATAGTGTTGTCAGCGTTGGCCCTCTATCTGTGTGCATGAAAAGAAAGCAGCGACAGTCACACAGGAGCCTTCCTCCTCTCGCTCATTGTGTTCTGTCTCTAATCACTTCTAACACTGCAAACATGCTGTTCCAGTAGTGTTCCCCCCCCCCCTCACACACATCCTCTCCTCTGCTTCTCCCTCCTTCTCATGCGTCTCCTCTCCTCTCTTGCAGCTCCACCCACCTGCAGATAAAAGCCAAACCCCTGAGCAGAGCTGCTGTTCAGCGTCTGTCCCAAACTCCTCAAAGCTCTGTGATACTTTCACCCTGCAGCAGCACACAGAGGTAAGTGATGCGTCACCGCGGACATGTTTTGGTTGGCATGCTGCTGTGCTTATAGGCCTTTTGGTGCACATTCATTAGGTTCTATGTGTTTGTCTTGCATGCTTGTCTGATTGCACTGCCTTGACTGGATCAGTTTCCCTTTTTTCTCCCGGAAAAATATGACAAATCACGCCCTTTTTGAATTCCTGAAACAATAGAGTAGCTTTTGGGATGGCACGTGAGGAAGAAGATCTCTGAGGTAGAGAGACAAAGTGTGTTTTCTTAAGACGTCCAGCTCTCTGCTGTGAAGCCTCTGCTGACAGAAGTCTCTGCAGATAACGTCTGACAGTTTTCCAAATGAAAACAATGTCCAAAAGAGACACCTGGGAAGAATAACTCAGGCTTTAGCTTGTTAAAATAAACGCACGGTGCAGCATCTTGACAGGATTTAGCAGCAGTTGGTGGAATTTCTTGACATTTTGGAGATTTTACGCTGCACCTCTTTCAGGGAAAATGAAGGCATGGACGAAATGCTACGGTTATTCTGCTTTGAACTATTGCACA